AAAATAAAATACTGGTAAGTTGGCAATACTACTCAAATTGATTTACAAAGTCAATCGATCCCTATTAAAATTCTAGCTGGCCGTTTTGTTTTGTTTTGTTTTGTTTCCAGAAATCGCATTGATTTTAAAATTCTTATGTAAATGCAATACTAAAGGGCCAAAACAATCTTTAAAAACAAGAACAAAGTTGGAAGACTCACACTTTTTGATTTCAAAACTTACTACTCAGCTACAGTAATTAATACAACATGGCACTGGCATAAGGATAGACTTATATGTCAATGAAATAGAATTAAGAGTCCACAACTAAAACTTTACATTATAGTCCAGTGATTTAGCACAAGGGTGGCAAGACAATTGAATGGGAACACAGTAGACTTCTCAATAGATGGCACTGGTAAAATCAGAGAGCCACATGCAAAAAAATTAAATCGAGGTGCTTTCTCATGCCATACCCCCAAATTAATTCAAATTTGATCATAGACCTAAATGTAACCATTAAAATTATAAAACTCTTAGAATACATGCAGGAGTAAATCTACAATGTCATAGTTTAGGCAATGATATCTTAGTTGTGACACTAAAAGTACAAGTGACAAAAAAATAGATAAACAGCAAAATTAAAAATATTTGTGCTGCAAATAATAACATCAAGAAGATAAAAAGACAATCTACTGAATAGGAGAAAACATTTTCAAAGAATATATATGCTAAAGGACTTACATTCAGAATATATAAAGAGCTATTGCTACTCAATAATAAAAAGACAAATAATCCAATTTAAAAATAGGCAAAGAATCTGAGTAGATATTTCTCCAAAAAAGATACACAAGTATGCACTAAGCACACAAAATGATGTTCAATATCATTAGCCATCAGAGAAACGCAAATCAAAACTACAATGAGATATCACTTCACTGCACTAGGATGGCTATAATAAAAAAGACAGACAACATTAAGGATAGGCAAAATGTGGAGAAATCGGAATCTTCATACATTGCTAGTGGGAATGTAAAATGATGCAGTCATTTTGGACAACAGTTTAGCAGTTCTTCAAACAGTTAAACAGAGAGTTACTATAAAACTCAGCCATTCCACCACTAGATATCAAGCCAAGAGAAATGCAAACATATGTCCACATAAAAACTCATGCATGGGTCCTCATAGTACTATTGTACTATGAACAACATTGTATGTAATATTATTCATGCAAATTAAAAAGTAGACAAAACCTAAATAACTATCAAGAGATGAAATGATGAATATGATGAAGGGGAGATACGGGGAGTGACTTCTAATGGATTCAGGTTTATTTTAGTCAAGATGAAAATGCTCTAAAATTATATTGTGGTAATAGTTATACAATCCCATGGATATAATTAAAAACATTGAATTTTCACATTAAATGGCTACATTGTATAGCATGTGAATTGTATCTGTTATATATATAGCTGTTTAAAAATTTTTAAAGAAAGTAAAAACACACTTACATGCTGCACTCACTCCTAAAAGCAAAATCTCTTCTCTCATTTGTAAGTTTCTAGAGCTTGAATCCTACGATAGGGACAGATACGAAACAGAAAGGTCTGTTTGCTAGTGAGGGGATATGGTTTTCAACATTTAGGGACTGACGTGTGCAAACTTTAATAGAATAAGCTCATTTTCCTTCACTGTAGGCAAAAACAAACAAAAATTAAAGACATATTTCTGAAGAAATTTCCTTGGTTGTAGCTTTGGTTTAGAAGAATCTCAGTCTGCATTATATAACACCTTTTAATCATCCAGAGTGATGCTATTAAGAGAAGAATCTGAAGAGCACTAACTAAAGGATTGCCTTGTTATGTTGGAACACAATTATCTGGCTGAAGGCTTGGGCTCTCACTCTGAGGAGAGGAGTGCGTTGAGGACTTTGAAGCAAGAGGAAACAGTAAGGAGTGAGCAGAGGCACTGAGTATTTCAGCCTCAATACTCAGAATATGTTCTTTATAACCTGTTTCTATTTGCACAGAGACAGTTCATGTTAGAGCACAACCTAAAGGATGACTGGAGTAAAATGGGAAAAATTTTTCCTATCCAGGAAATCAAAAAGCCAGATGCTGAGCTGAGTAAAGGCCCAGAATCTCAGAAAACTCAGTCACGCAAGAGAGACATTTGAAGAGCTGAAGTGGGGAGGAGCCAAAATAGGGTTGCTAGATAAAAGATAAGATATGCAGTTAAACTTCAACTTCAGATAAACAACAAACATATTTTTTCTTAGTATAAGTATGTCCCAGATATTTCACGGATGTATTTTCATTTGCTGAATTTGTAGCTTTTATTGTGTTTGCATTTGCTAAATATGGCAACTCTAATCCGATGGACATAGTTAATAAAACATATGGACAATCAGTTGGCAATAAAAAAAGATGTGAAGAGAAAGAGAATCTCTAAAATATGGGGATTGAGACAGAAGATGTGAAGAGGAAGGCTGGGGCAAAGAGTAGAACAGCTCAGAGAAGGTTTTTAGAGGACTTTATAACTCAGTTTTGTAGCTTCAGCTAAAACAACCACTAAAAATACATATCCACTATGGGAAGAATACAGGGTTTCAGTTCTTTACATTTCATGGCTCATGATAAAAGCATTCAAGGAACTCCCTGAGCCATATTATTTCCAGACTGACATATGACCATGCACAGTAGCTGCAAGAACCTTCTTTCAGGAACTACCAAATGATGATACTTTTTGGTAAACCTCTCAAAACCATAAGGTCCTATGTTCATACTCTTGATGACCCTGAGGCATCTCTAATCCAGCTACCCCATGAAATCTTCCTCAGAGAAACAGAAGAGAAGTAATACTTCACAGCCAGCTAAAGCTCTCAAAAAATAACAAGAAAAGGGAAAGGAAAAGCTAATGTTGACACATACATAAGGAGTGAATAGTGCCTGAAAACTTGAAAATAAGGTTCGATGTCCTCAGAGTTATACTAGCAAACTCTAAGTCATTATGATTATCATTTGGGGAAGCAAAACAAGAGATAGCTCATAATGTGTCACTGAAGCATAAGAGAGCAGCCAAAACATTAAAAGTCATGTGATGTGGGTAAGACCTCAAGGAGGCAGACATGGAATGTGAGTATCATTCAGTAATGTAAATATAATACAATTTGTCAAACATGGAAGCCTCAATAAATAAATTCAAAAAGAAAAGCTGACAATGTCCCTCAGAACATGTCCTAAAAATGCACATCTCGGCTAAGTAGACAGAGCATTATGATTTGTTTGGCTAGTAAACTTCTCTGCACAAGCCTCTATGCTGGTCAATCAATAGCCTGCATTCTGGATTGTACTCATTAGTCTCTGTGGACTTGGTTAAATGTGAGGCTATTCCCAAAAGGGAGATCCAATCTTACCACATTAACAAACCAATTGGGTTTCTCAGCCTGGACTTCTTAAGGCCAGCTTCTGGGTCATGGTGAATGGCTCAAAGGAAGCCTCTGGTAGTTTTTCCAGGGCAATACATTGTCTGCCTGTTTTCAAATAGAAATGCAGGGTTCCAAGGGCAAAATCAACCTCCCTAAATTCACATAATATGGTCTTTCTATCACAATGCCTAATCCCTCTCCATTCTTAGTTAGCAACATGTCCATTGTGGATTACCTTACAGTTTGGGACCTGGAACTAACATTCCAGTGTTCTGGCTGCTGTACTGGCCCCACACTAAACACAGATCATCCATAGCCCCATCTCTGTTTCACTTGTAACAGACTTAAATTATAATTTTTTTATTACTTAAATGAACCACTTCTTCCCACACACCTTATGCTACATAAAAGCTTCCTTCTAGTTGCAAGGAGACCGCTTACTTGTGAATGGCTCTTGTCAAAAACTACAGAGTTGCAACAGGAGGGCATCAGAGAAGACTTACATAAATATTTTTGATTTTTAGGTGCTTATGTTTTCCAGTTATTGCAGGCAGACACTGAAGCATAAATAAGGTATGGGAATGCTACGGGCAAAATAACGAATGCCTCTGAAACAACAGATGGCTGCAGGCAGAGAGGTAAAACATCTCTATCAGTAGTTTCTAAACACTTCTCACTTTTGATATTCAAAGGCTTATGAAAATTTTATACCTTACATAGACCAGTGAAAAATAAAGTTCACATTTAAAATAACTCATATAATTTATAGTGTGTCAAGTATCATAAGTTCTTTATATCTATGTTTTGACATATTCATACTCAAAGAATCAAGGATCATCACCAGGTTTCATTTGGAGCATTTCCGCTCCATTCTGTAACCTCCTAAAGACTGTGTTCTTAGCTTTGTAATCTCATCCTAAAAACAGTCTAATAGTCCACTTTGAGAGCAATAACCTTAGGTTCCAAGAGTGTTGAAGGGGGCTATAAAGAATTATAGCTTCTTAACCTATAACCATTCCCTAATCAATATCTAATAAAAATCACTACAAGCATGTAGAAGTTCCATGACTATTCCACTCTTTCTCTTTGGTACAAATGGTTTTCTCTGATTTTATTTCAATTATTATGAAACACTTCAAACAATAAGTGAATTAAGGACTTTTTTTAAATCTATGCACACATAATCCAGAATTCACAAATATTAAAATTTGATATTTAAGTCTCATTTAGAAAATAATATACTAAAAAGATACAATAGATACCATATATTGTATATACAGAATATGGTGGATTCTATGTAGATACAGAAGATACTGTAAATTGTTTCTAATGATCTTTCATTTTCCTACCCTTTAAAAAATGTACATAATCATAAGCAATATATTAGTTTTTGTGCTTATACATGTAAATAAATGACATTATATCTTATATATGGCTCTACCACTTGCTTTAACTCATCATTATTTTAGGGCCTATAACTATGCTGAGTCTTGTAGATTATTTACTAATGTTAAACGTGTATAATATTCCATTATATGAAGATGCTACTATTTATTTATCTACTTATTAATTTGATTCCTCTTGGTAAATTTAGGTTGCTTTCTGGTTTGGGTTATTATTAGCATAAGAGCAGTGAAGATATGCAAGAATTTCTCTAAAGTATCTTCCTAGAAGTGGAATGGCTGGGTAACAAGGTATGTACATCTTCAGCTTGTTTTATGAGGATTAACTGACTTCATATGTTAAAGTGATTAGCAATGCTTGGCAGGGAACAGGAGCCTAATAAACATTTAAGGTGTGGTAGCTACAAATATTTTATATTTTGATGAAGTCAAATTATCAATTTTTAAATTTTTTCATCTTGTTTTAAAGAATTCCTTCCCTGCTGTGATATTATAAAGATATTCTTCTACATTTTATTTTTCTTTTATTAAGTTTTTGAACTTTTGCTTTTCTCTTAGAGATCTTTAATTCACCTGGAATTTATTTTGGTGTGTGCTATGAGGTAAAACACTAACATTTTAATATAGATAAGCAATGGTCCCAACACCACTTTATCCCTAACTAACAATGTTATTTTTATCACATTCCAAGATTCCATTTATGTGTGGGTATCTTTCTGGGTTCTCTGTTCTATCCTATTATAGATATTTAAGTTCTTAATTTCACTGTGGCTTCATTTATAAAATGGAGATAAAATCATACTTATTTCATAGGATGCTATGAGAATTAAACATACTCATACACACAAAGTGCTTGGAATAGTGCCTGATATATAGTAACTAAAATATACAGGTTAGTTTTTCTGATAGTTAATTTCATGTATTTTATATGTTAATTTGATTGGACTACAGGGTGCACAGGCATTTGGTCAAACATTATTCTAGGTATGTCTGTGAAGCTGTTTTTGGACAAAATTAACATTTAATTGGCAAGCAGATTGCCTTCCCTAATGTGGGTAACCCCAATCCAATCAATTAAAAACCTAAATAGAACAGGCTTACTAAGAGGGAACTCCTGCCTGTTTTAACGGGGACATCAATCCCCTCCTGTGCTGAAAGCTCTCCTGGTTCTCAGGCTTTTGAACACACCCTGGGTTTGCACCATTGACTCTCCTGGGTCTCCATCTTGCAGGCTGCAGATCCTGGGATTTCTCAGCCTCCACTATCATGTAAGTTAATTTCTTATAATAAATCTTTACACACACACACACACACACACACACACACACACACACACACACTTGGGTCTATTTCTCTGAAGAACCTAATACAGCCATTACCAGTTGATGTTTATCCATTTGCCAACACTACACTGTTCCAAAGATTCAAGTTTGTATTACTTCTTGATTTCTAATAGAGCAAGTTTTTCCTCTTCCTTAAAATTTTCCTCAATTCCTTGAACCTTCTTGTTTCATATGATATTTGGAATCAAACTTCTCAAAAACTCCCAAGGGATCTGAATCGGAAATGCACTGAGTTCACGGATTTGAGAAAAACAGATTTTACAGTGCTGATTTCTCCTCCAGGAACAGGTTATATCCCCACCACCTCCGTTTTTAGTCTTCTTTATATTTCATTCAATAAACTAATTTTCAACATGAACTTCTGCAATTTCTATATATTTTCCCAATTTATAAACAGTTTTGTCACTATTATGAAAAAGATTTTATCTTACCATTTCATTTTTAATTAGCTATTGCAAAAGAATTCTGCCAAATTTTATACATGAATCTTGCATTCAAAAAGCTTGCTGAATCTTTTGTCATTCTTAACAATTTATTTGTATGGAAATCTGAATGATCTGTATATATTGTTTAGACTCCCGATGATAGCAGCCTTGCCTTTTTTTTTTTTTTTTAACTATCTTACATATTTTCATACTGGCTTATTATCAATGCCCTAGCTTTTGGAGACAAGGAAATATATATATTATAAAGATAATATTTGTCTTTACTGCCCCTGGAGCTATGCAATAAGAAATGAATGTGTAGCCATCTGTCTAGGTGTCTACTTAATTATTTTGATCCCACAGAGTAATGAAACTTCTCTTACTTCCTCAAGAGGGCCAAATAGTTACAGCCCAAATTAGGTAGCTAGGTTAAAATGCTAAAGTGCAGGAAGACTGGAGTGCTATCTCCTGAGGTATTTACATTTCAAATGGTATGAAGTCCAGAGCTTGAAGATATCCCTAGGTCTTCAAAGCCAGAGAAACCATCCATTTACGTATTAATAGCCCTTGGAAAGATATTTACATTCCAAAAGGTTAGGATAGTTAGTTTTTCTTGTTGCATTGATACCTTTACCATTATGTAATGCCCTTCTTTGTCTCTGTTGTTCTTTGTTGATTTAAAGTTCATTTTATCAGAGACTAGGATTGCAACTCCTGCTTTTTTTTGTTCTCCATTTGCTTGGTAAATCTTCTTCCATCCCTTTATTTTGAGTCTATATGTGTCTTTGCGTGTGAGATGGGTCTCCTGAATACAGCACACCAGTGAGTCTTGACTTTTTATCAAGTTTGCCAGTCTGTGTCTTTTGATTGTGGCATTTAGGCCACTTATATTTAACAATATTATTATGTGTGAATTTGATCCTGCCATTTTGTTACTGGTTGGTTTTTTTGTCCATTAATCCAGGCAGTTTCTTCACTGAGTCATTGGTCTTTACCAACTGGTACATTTTTGCAGTGGCTGGTACTGGTTGTTCCTTTCCAGGTTTAGAGTTTCCTTCAGAAGCTCTTGTAATGCAGGTCTGATGGTGACAAAATCTCTCAGCAATTGCTTGTCCATAAAAGACTTTGTTTCTCCTTCACTTATGAAGCTTAGTTTGGCTGGATATGAAATTCTGGTTTGAAAGTTATTTTGTTTAAGGATGTTGAATATTGGCCCCACTCTTTTCTGGCTTGTAGGGTTTCTGTCAAGAGATCCCCTGTAAGTCTGATGGGCTTCCCTTTGTGTGACACGACCTTTCTCTCTGGCAGCCCTTAGCATTTTTTCCTTCATTTAAATGCTGGTGAATCTGACGATTATGTGCCTTTGGGTTGCTCTTCTTGAGGAGTATCTTTGTGGTGTTCTCTGTATTTCCTAAATTTGAATGTTGGCCTGCCTTGCTAGGTTGGGGATGTTCTCTGGGATAATATCCTGAACTTTTTTTCCAGGTTGGATTTATTCTCCCTGTCACATTCAGGTATACTGATCAAGTGTAGATTAGGTCTTTTCACATAATCCCATATTTCTTGGAGGCTTTGTTCATTTCTTTTCACTCTTTTTTCTCTAATCTTGCCTTCTCATTTTATTTCATTGAGTTGATCTTCAATCTCTGATATCCTTTCTTTTGCTTGATTGATTCAGCTACTGAAACTTGTGTATGCTTTGCAAAGTTCTCATGCTGTGTTTTTCAGCTCCATCAAGTCGTTTATGCTCTTCTCTGAGCTGGTTATTCTAGTTAGCATTTCATCTAACATTTTTTCAAGGTTCTTGGTTTCTTTGCATTGAGTTAGAACATGGTCTTTTAACTCAGAGAAGTTTGTTATTACCCACCTTCTGAAGCCTGCTTCTGGCAATTCATCAAACTCATTCTCCATCCTGTTTTGTTCCCTTGCTGGTGAGGAGCTGTGATCCCTTCAAAAAGGAGAGGTTTTCTGGTCTTTCATGATTTCATCCTTTTTGCGCTGGTTTCTTCCCATTTTGTTGATTTATCTATCTTTGATCTTTGATGTTGGTGATTTCAAAATGAGTCTCTGAGTGGACATCCTTTCTGTTGATTTTGAAACTATTTCTTTTTGTTTAGTTTTCCTTCTAACAGTGCAATCCCTCTGCTGTAGGACTGCTGGAGGTCCACTTTAGACTCTGGTTGCCTGGGAATCACTGGCGGGGGTTGCAGATCAGGAAGCATTGCTGCCTGATCTTCCCTCTGGTAGCTTCATCCCAGAAGGGTACCTGCCAGGTGACAACCAGAGCTCTCCTGTATGAGGCATCTTTTTGGTTATACAGAGGTCAGGAGCCACTTGAGGAGGCAGTCTGTCCCTTGCCTGCCTGCAGAGGTGCTGCTGGGCTGTCACAGACTCTGTCCAGCTGCTGTGTAGGCTTCCTCTGGCTTTTGTTTACACATTCAGGTTTAGAACCACCTCAGCAATGGTGGATGCTGTTTCTCCCACAAAGCTTGATCATCCTGGGTCGCACTCGAACTGATATGCCGGCTGCAAAACTCTCAACTGAGAGGTCTTTTGAGGGGTGAAACCTGCCAAGTCATATCACCTGTCTCCCTGCTTTCAGTTCCCTCTTTCTGGGGAGCAGGTAGCTCCATCCCACAGGTGTTCTCGGTGCTAGTCAAAATGTTTACCCACATCTGGGCCAACAACCTGCGGTGTCTGTCGGAGCTGCCGCTCGGATCTGTGTTGGTAACTCTTGCACTTTTCAGCCTGGCGGGGATCTCCTGGTCTATGGGTTGCAGAGGGCATGGGTGAAGAGCAGTATCTGAACCAGAGTGCTGGAGGTGGGGCAAAGTCCCCAATCCTCAGGTGAGTTGCACTTCCCAGGTGAGGCAGTGCCCCACCCTGCCTCGGTTTGCCCTCTTTGGGCTACACCCACTGTCCAACCATTCTCATTGAAATGAACCTGGTATCTCAGTTGGAAATGCCTTCTGTGTCTCTCTCACTGGGAGCTGTGCTCCGGAGCTGTTCCTATTCAGTCATCTTGGTGGGATCCTCACCAACATTATATTTAAGACTTCTTTGCCATGTTCATAGGGAGATTATCTTGTGACTTTTATCTCTGTATTCCACCAAATTTGTTGTTAAGGTTATACTGGCCTTATACAAATGGTTGGGTAGCTTTGTCTTCTTTCTCTCTGGCAGTTTATACAAAATACGTATCCCCTCTCCTTTGAAGGGTATTTAACATCTTCTGTCATACCACCTGAGCCTGGTGTCCTGATCAAGGAGCTAAAAGGGTAGCTGGTTACTAATCTTTAGAGGTTATAGTTTATTTCTTCTTAAGTCAATTTTTATCACATATAATTTCCAAATAAATGGTCTATTTCACTTATGCTGTCAAAACTGTTATCATAAAGTTTATAATAAGAGTTAAGGCCAATATGATTATCCCTGTAAACTCTCAACTTCAACACACAGGCTGTTTCCTCACTTTGAATTAATTTTTGTATTTGGGCTTATTTAATTCTTTTGTTTTTGAGCTTGGCCTTATTAATTAATTAATTTATTTATTATTTCTGTTTTGTCCAGCCTCTGATATGTTTGGAATATCAATGATTTCTTTAACACCTTACTTTTCCAAATTGACAGAAAATGACATTTCATTTTTCTATCAGTTACTCTGGGTTTGGGTGCCTTTTCTTAGCATTTTTTTTTCTAATTTCTGATGAGCTAATATAAGAAAATATCTAATTCAAATACAGTTTGAATACAAATTTCAAATACAATTTGTTCAAATGCAATTCAACAATTTTACATCTAGATTTACTGGGATTGCCATACTATACCCAAATTAACAGGACTATCTAATGACACCAAATTGTTTGCCAAAAAATGTTTATAAATGTGTACTCATTTAATATAACTAGTCACAGAAATAAAGTGTAATCTTCTACCAAGAGATAACATTTAAGATTGCACATATTTCACAATTTGTCAGTCAAAGGAAAGAGGAAAGAAATTTACATTACATTTGCCAGGAACTAAATAATCAATAAAATGAAAGATGCAGAGAAATGAACCACATAAATGACAGTACACACATTCTGCTTTAAAAATTTAGGTCTCAGCTGCAGTGATCATCTAAACTATCCCATACAAATCAAAATTTCCCACTGTCTCTTCATTCCAATGATCATTGTATTTCAGCCTGTTCCCAACACAACAGTGTTCAGCCAGAACCAACCAATGTTTTAACAAAACCAGCTGGTGAGCATGTCTTAAGATGGTCCTAATGACAAGGCTCCTGCTTGTCATTAGTCAAATTCCTTGAATTCTGAACAATCATGCAAATTTTGTTGACAGATAAAATTCAACTTTCATTTCTCTATGAATCAATTACTGTTGCAGGACTTTTCCTTAGTTCAGCTAAAGATGGGGTTCTTGTCCATCCCATGGCCATGAAAATTTAGGCTCTCAGATGATTTAAAGGGTGAGCACAGCAGGGTTTTCTTGGGTGAAAAGGGGAAAGAATCTGTAAGCCCAGAGGCCCCTGCTTGAGCGTTACCCTCCGGCCATTTGAATGCCAGGGTCCACACAGGAAGAGGAGGGGCCAGGCTCCTCCCTGCTGCAAACGCCATGAATTTTCTGAGGCTCTATCCCAGTGGGCAAGCTAGTTGGAGTTTCTCCTGGGACCTGCTCCCATCTGGCCGTCTCGTTACTGTCTTATATTTCAAGATTTTCACTTGGTCTATAATGGCATTTACATATTAGAATGGATATAATCTTAGATCTGATAATTATGCTTACATTGTTTTTCTAAGAGGAAGTACAGGAAAGGTAAAACAATTTTCATTAAAATATATACATCTAGATAATGGCAGAGCAGGTCTTGAACTCAGCTCCACTTACTCCTTGTCCTACCCTTCTCCTCTCTTTTCTTTTTACCTTTTTTAACTTCGGTATTCTGAATCACCTAGAAGACATTACAACTTTCCCATGAAGGTTAAGAGCTCTACTATTCATCAACAACTAAGAATCTTTCCTTTTTTTTTTTTTTTTTTCAGATGGCATTTCACTCTTGTTGCCCAGGTTGGAGTACTATGGTGCACGATCTCAGCTCACTGCAAGCTCCACCTCCCAAGTTAAAGCAATTCTCCTGCCTCAGCCTCCCACCAAGAATCTTTCTAAAATCTGAAATAAAGGCTTACATTGCAGCACTTCAACACCAAAAAAAACTTTTCTAGAATTGAGTAGATTTATGGTTCCTTACAATTAAAACTTATTTGTTGTAAATAAGAGAGCTAAAATGATTATGCTAAATGACACGCAGACATGTTACAAAAACAGAATAAATTTACACTCAGTGATATTGTACCAATTATAAAACTAAGCCCAAAAGGAGTTGTATTTGGGATAATCTGAAACCTCAGAAATATTCTTTACATGGTAAGGTGAAAAGGGGCAATTAACTGACATTCCCTGAGTGACTACATTGTGGCAGAAGGGTGGTAAGCATTTTGCATCAGTTATCTCATTTAATCCTAAAATACAAAAGAATCACAATAACTTCACTAGTTTGTTTTTCTGACTTAATCTTTAAAACATTAGCACATATTTTTAAATATGATCAAGCATTCTTAACATTTAAGCCACAAGCAAATTTGATGAAAATGTCATAGCAAAAGGCCATCCTATAATTATAACTCATAATGGGCATGACAAACTTTCCTGAATAATTATGAAAAGATGGCATAATGCTTGTTAATTACTGCAGAATTTGCAATCTAAACATCTTTTAGCTCCATTTTTCTTTCTACATATCTTTTTATGATATTTTGATTTAAGTCACTTTATTTCCCCAACACTGCCAGGAATTTATCAACATTGCTGCCAATCTGATAATATTTTTAGATTTTAAGTTATAGAGTCACTTTACAATTCCCCACCAATCAAAGCTTATTTCCAGTGTTGTAGGGCAGTCCTAATCACTTGCAGCACTGATTTCTCAGCTAAGTATGTTTTGAAAAAACTATGGCATTGAGTCCTTTGTAATTAGTAAAGTGCACTCTTCATCTTTCACAGGACTTGGAACAAACATAAACATCTAAGTAACTTAAAATGCTGTAGAAAAGAACAGGGAAGACAAAGTGAGCAATATGACTCAGTGCAAGGAACATTAGACTAAATGCTATTAGACTTATGTTCACATTCTAACTCTCGCCTTATCAAGGCATATATCTTTTAGCATTTTATTTTCATTTTCTGGGATTTAATTCTTAAACTCAATGACTTAATTTCCACCTTTAGAATCTATAAAAAAGATGAGCAAAGCAAACTCAAAATAGGAGAGAAGAAATAAAAATCAGAAAAAAATAATAAAATAGAAAACATGCAAACAGAAAAAGTTTAAAGCCCTAAAAGTTGGTTATCAAAAAAGATCAACAAAATTCTAAATCCCTAACTAGTCTGATCAAGTTAAAAAATAAAAAAAAGAGAGAGAGAGAGATTAAAACAAAAAAGGAGAGCACACCAAATACCAACATCAGAAATGAAAGGACTATATTGAACTATAGATCTTATAGAAAATAACTAGATAATAAGAGTATATTATGAACAATTTTACACTGCAAATTCAATACTTGATGAAATGGACAGATTCTTCAAAAATACAACTTACTAACAATGACAAAAGATAAAGCAGAAAATCTGTGTATTTTTATATCTATCAAAAAATTGAATGCAGAGTTTAAAACTTTTCCACAGAGTAAACTCAATGTCAAGATAGTTTTACTAAAGAATTTTCTCAAATATTTTTTAAAGTAACAACAATAATCTCACACATACTCTTATAAAACAGGAAAGTGGGAAACATTTCCAAACAGTTTATGAAGGCAGCATAATCCCAATATTAAAAAATGACAAATTTATTCCAAAAAGAAAACTATGGACCAATGACAGTTGTAAATTTGGGGAGAAAAAGTCTTTAAGATATTAGCATATATAAAAATGATAAGATATCATGCCAAATGAAGTTTATTCCAGAAATGCCAGATGGATATAACACTTAAAAATAAATCAATGTGATTCACTCTATTAAGATTATAAAGAATAAAAACTTCATGATCATTTCAATAGATGAATAAAAATATTTTACCAAATTCAGCATCTGTTCATGATTAAAAATAAAATACTCTCAACAAGCCAGGAATAGAAAGTAAGTTCCTCTCCTCAGTCTGATTAAGGCATCTATAAAAAATCAACA